ATATATATTAGGTTAAATGCTAAATTTGGTCCCTCAACTTTAGTGAGTTGCACATTTTTGGTCCTTCAACAATTTTTTGCACTTTTTTGATCCCTTAACTATACGAAATGCATTCCGTTAGTCCTTCTGTCAATTTTCGCCGTTAACTTGGCCACATGGCATTTTTTATATTTTTTTGGATGACATGGCAAAAATAACTTAAAAGGTGCTGATTTGGACTTTTTTTTGGCGACATGTCATCTTCCTTTCTCATCTTCATTCTCTGAAAAATCAATCTCCACGTCATCTGCAGAATCAATCTTAACCCATTTCTTCTTCTTCTCTAAATGCTCTCTCATCTCCACCCCTATATGTGATTGTGAAAAATTAAGATATATATTCTAATAAAAAATGAAACAATGCGCACACAGCTTCTCAAAAATAAAAATAATGTAGACAACTAACTTTTGAATGATCGAAGTCAAGATATTAGCATATTTGTTTCCATACTTGTAGTTGTTTTCATTCTAGGGATGATCAAGAGACTTGATTTGGTTGATTATTAAACAAAGATAGCAACAATATATCCATTATCAATGGAATTGGGATTGACAGTAATTTTTGTTAGATTCTGAACCAATTTTAAATCACCTTAGCTATCAAGAGTTTAAATTGTACAATAAAATGAAAAGTAAGTATAAAAACAAACAATTATGTGTCCCACTTAAAAAGATGACAAAAGAAAAAAATGAGACAATACATGCAATGTCTTGAAAATAAAGTAATGTAAACAACAATTTTCTGAGTTATGAAAGGGTTTTTTTTTTTTTTTAAGTCTATAAATAAAAAAATTTTATTTAAAAGGTATAAGGTACATTGAATCCATTTACATTCGAGTCAACCCATCTAGATATGAGTCAACAGATAACTCCATCTCACAATGCGCTGCAGTTGAGTGTCCCCACCATAGATAGGATGCAAACCATATCCTCCATGAATTTACAGAACCAAACAAGAGAAGGTTTGGGTGATGAAAATTTGGACATTGGTCTATTTGTTTATGTACTTGTATGTATTTTTTTTTCTAAGGATAATTAAGAGAATGGGTTGATAAGTTTATCTTATCGTAGATTTTTGTTGGATTCGCTACAAATTGCAAATCTCCTTACTAGAGTTTGGATATTGGACTATTAAAATTAAAAATAGATTTAAAAGTAGACAATTATGTATTCTACCCAAAAAGATGACAAAAGGGAAAAAGGGATCACAAATGCTACATCTTGGGGATAAAAATAATGTACACAACAATTTTTTGTGTAATGAAATTTTATATATTGATATATGAGACTGAGAAAATTTAAGATATTTTAATAAAAAATAAAACAATACACAACATCTCAAAGATAAAACTAATGTAAGAAGCTAACTTTGGGGCGATGAAAGTTAGGATATTAGTATCTTTGTTTCCGTACTTGTAATTGTTTTCATTCTAAAGATGATCAAGAGGTTTGATGATTTGGTTAATTATTAAAGGAAGATAGCAACAATATAATATAACCCTTATCAATGGAATTGAGATTCAAAGCAATTTTTTGGTTAGGTTTTGAACTAATTTCAAATCAACCTACCTTACACGATAAAATGAACAATTATGGGTTCCACTTAAATGGGCGTGATTATGATCGCCTATTAAATTGTTAAAATTATACAAATTGTGCTTAATTTGATTGATATTTGTAAATTTTTTTTAAACTATACGTTAGTTATAATGTCTAAAAATATCAATTTATAAATTAATTTTAATTTATTAAGTAATAAATATTAATTATTTTATAAGTTATTATTTATTTATAACAATAAAATCAAATAAAATTAATATTTTTTTAAATTATATTGCGTAGTTTGTATAATTTAATAGGTGAGTATAACCACACCCTTTAAAAAAGATAAAAAAAAAGGAGACAATACACGTAGCATCTTGAAGGTAAAATAAATGTAAACAACAATTTCTTGAGTGATGGAAGGTGTTTCTTTTTCTTTTTCATTTTTTCATTTTTTCTATAAATAAAGAAAATTTTATTCAAATGGTTTAAGGATATGCCACCCATTAACATTAGAGTCAACCCATTTACATATAAGTCAACACATAGTTCCATATCACAATGCATTACTGTTGAGAGTCCCCACCATGTATAGGATGCAGATCATACCCTCCATGAATTTACACAACCAAACAAGAGAAGGTTTGGGTGATGAAAGTTTGGCCATTGGTCTATTCGTTTCTGTAATTGTATTTTTTTTTTCTAAGTATGATCAAGAGAACAAGTTGATAAGTTTATCCATTATTGTAGATCTTTATTTCATTCCCTCCTAATTAATAGCAAATCGCCTTACTAGAGATTGGATATTGGATTATTAAGATTAAAAATATATTTAAAGGTAAACAATTATGTGTTCTATATAAAAAGATGGCAAAAGAGAAAATGAGACTTGTTATACCCTAAATTGAGTCTTATGAGAATGAGGACACGTGGATGTATCCTAAAAGAGTTCTATCAAGATTAGATAAATTAAATTCCTTTAGAACTAGAATACTCAAACACCAACTCAAGTAAAATTGTAATGTTAGGGTGACTTTATGTAATATCTTATAAATATCCCAATATTAGACTTAGGAAGGGGATTATTATTTTTCTCAATTCTCTCTTTATTATAAGCTCTCTCCATCTTTGATCAATTGAGTACTTGGTTCCACATAATCTCTTTTATTTTTTAGTGTTAATAGGACTACAAATGCTATAACTTGGGTATAAAAAAATGTATACAGCAATTTTTGGGTGAAGAAAATTTTGATATTGATATATGTGATTGTGAAAAATTAAGATATATATTCTAATAAAAAATGAAACAATGTG